CTGTATCATACAATTACAGGGTAGCCCCATTACTAGTTCGACTGTCAAGAGATTTTTTAGCCCCATTTCGACTGTATCATACCATTACAGGGGTGCGCACTCCACCCAACGCTGCTTTGGCCGCCTGACGGACGCTTGGCGTCACCAGTTCCCTGAGGCCACTGAGATCCCCCGCTGGGGTGAGCTGTCTAGGGCGGGTGTAGCTGTCTTTGACCTTGACTTTGATGCTATTCTTGCTGCCATGTATACTGTGACTATTAGTGATGAGGGTGACTGTTACCGGTGTTTTCCGCCCGACCCGGGCATTGAGACTGCTGCTCTAGGTACTGGTGAGGCTGCTGCTCTAGGTGCTAGCGAGGCTGCTGCTCTAGGTGCGTCTGCTCCCTCAGGTGCTGGTGAGTCTGCTCTCTCAGGTTCTGCGTCGGCTTCGGCCTCCCACACCTTCACCCTTGACTCGGGGGCTTCTCGCTCCTTCTTTCGAGACCGCACCACACTCACGCCGCTTGGCCGGCCAGTTGCAGTCTCTCTGGCAGACCCCTCTGGGGGTCCGGTCCTTGCTCACTTCTCCACTGTCCTCCCGTGTCCGGCGGCCCCCTCTGGCACCCTGTCTGGTCTTTACCTCCCCTCGTTCTCTACGAACTTGGTGAGTGGTGCTGACCTACAGGATGCGGGGGTTCACCAGTTCACTCCTGCGAGTCAGCGGGTGACCCACTGCACGGACGCTCGGACAGGCCGACACCTGGCCACGTTTACACGTCGGCCGGGGTCGAGCCTGTACACACTGACCACTGCGTCTCCTCCGGTCACTGCGTCTGGTCAGGTAGCTGCGTCAGGTCAGGTGTTTGCTGCAGCGTCCAGGTCTGGTCCTGAGTCTGCCCCCTGTTCGTGTCGCCTCCTGTCTCACGAGACTCTCCTCTGGCACCACCGCCTTGGTCACCCCTCCCTGCTTCGTCTCCGAGGCATGGCCTCCCGTGTCCTTGTCTCTGGTCTTCCCCGGTCCCTCCCTCCCCTTCCTCCGGGGCCTGGCCCTACCTGCGTCCCCTGTGTCGAGGGGCGGCAGCGGGCTGCCCCTCACTCCTCCCAGTTTCCTCCGACAGAGGCCCCGCTGCAGACGCTTCACATGGACGTGTGGGGCCCGGCCCGCGTCCGTGGACAGGGTCACGAGCGCTACTTCCTGCTGGTGGTTGACGACTACTCGCGTTACACCACAGTCTTCCCCTTGCGCAGCAAGGGTGATGTCACTGAGGTGTTGATCGACTGGATCCGCGAAGCTCGTCTCCAGCTCAGGCAGAGCTTCGGCTCGGACTTTCCTGTTCTGCGTCTGCACTCTGACAGAGGTGGAGAGTTCTCCTCTGGCCTTCTGCGAGCCTACTGTCGTGCACGAGGCATCCGCCAGACCTTCACGCTTCCGGACTCTCCACAGCAAAATGGGATTGCTGAGCGCCGCATTGGCATGGTCATGGACGTCGCCCGTACGTCCATGATGCATGCGGCTGCCCCCCATTTTCTGTGGCCGTTTGCTGTTCGGTACGCGGCGCATCAGATCAACCTTCACCCCAGGGTCTCCATGCCGGAGACCTCCCCAGCCTTGCTGTGGACGGGGAAGGTTGGCGATGCGTCTGCGTTCCGTGTCTGGGGATCTCGGGCGTTTGTCCGCGACTTGTCTGCGGACAAGCTGTCCCCTCGTGCTGCTCCTTGCGTCTTCCTTGGCTTCCCCCCTGACGCGCCAGGGTGGCAGTTCTACCACCCCACCTCTCGCCGTGTTCTGTCCTCCCAGGACGTCACGTTTGACGAGTCGGTCCCCTACTACCGCCTCTTCCCCTACCGCACTCCGTCCCTCCCCCCGCCACCGCTCTTCCTTGTACCAGGTCCCCCCCCGGTAGACCCCCTCCCCCCTCAGGGTCCTGCCCTTTCAGGTGTGTCCCAGGTAGACGCAGTCGAGCCTGTCGAGGTTACTGGTGACTCTGGTGCTGCTGAGGGTGCTGAGCCTGGGGGTGCTGACTCTGGGGGTGCTGAGCGTGTGGGTGCTACGCCTGGGGGTGCTGAGCCGGAGGGTGCTACTACTGGGGGTCCTGAGCCTGGGGGTGCTGAGCCTGGGGGTGCTACTACTGGGGGTGCTGAGCCTGGGGGTGCTGAGCCTGGGGGTGCGGAGCCTGAGGGAGCTGGGCCTACTCGTGTGGCGTCTGGCGGTGCTGAGCCTGGAGGTTCTCCGGGTGCTTCGTCTCGGCGGGAGCCACTCTCTCCACAGGAGCTGCGCGAGTGGTTTGCCCGGCGCTGGAGGCGTGCTGCTGGAGCTGGAGGTTCTTCGGCTGCTGAGGGTGCTGGTGCCGTGGGTCCCGGAGGTGCTCGTACTGGGAGTACTGGAGCTGCTGGGCCTGCGGGTACGACTGGAGCTGGAGCTGCTGAGGGTGTTGGCGCTGAGGCTACTGCTGTCGGTCCTAGAGGCGGTCCTACTGGGGGTACTACTGGTGCGGCTGGAGGTCCTGGAGCTGGAGGTGCTGCTGGCGCTGGTACTGCCGCTGGGGGTACTGGTGCTGTCCCTGCTGTGTCTGGAGTCGCCGCGCGGCCTCGGCCGTACTTCGTTCCGCTCCTTCAGCAGGTTCTTGGTCTCCCGCCTTCTACTGGTCCTCCTCCTCCCTTAGAGTGTCCACAGCCTGTCCCGTCACAGTTCCAGTTACAGCCGGCCTCCCCACTGCCCGCTCCCTCTCCCTACACTGGTCCTACTGGAGGTCTTGCTGAGCGTCGTGAGCCTGCGTCCCGCCCTGCGTCGCCTGTCCGTGCTGCTCGCACTAGTGGTCGTGGTTCGCGTCAGCGTCCTCCTCCTGTCCCTGGCACGCACCGGATGTCTCTGCGTCCGTCCACTGCTCCTCTGCGTGCCCCTTTGCCTTCTCCTCCTGAGTCCTCTCTTCCTGCTCTTTCTGACCCGGAGTCGGACTCTCTTCGTGCTGCCAGTCCTACTGTCACACGTCTCCTTGCTACTGTTGTCACTGACCCTTCCTTTGAGTCCACTGCTGCGTCTGCCCTAGTTACTGAGCTCGTCGACTTTGCTGCTCGCTGTCGTCTAGACTACGCTGCTAGTCTTGTTGCTGAGTCTGTCTGTCCTCCGTCCGTCGGGGGTGAGTGTGCCCTTCTTAGGCTGACGACCAGGCGCCGCTTCAATCACATCCGCCACCAGACTAATGGCATCCGATATCCTCCTGCCCGGAATGAAGCCGTACTGCTCCTCCGAGATGACCAGGTGGAGTACCCTCTTCATTCGATCCGCAACCACCCTCGCCAGAACTTTGTATGCGAAGTTGAGCAACGTTATTGGTCGATAGTTGTTCAGCTGATTCTTGTCATCTTTCTTGAAAAGCAAGATAGTAACTGCTTCCTTGATGTCTGCAGATAGCGACGCCGTCACAGAGAAATCCGCCGCGAGCTTCATGAAACTGCTGCCAAGAACGTCCCAGTGAAGTTCGAAAAGTTCCTTTGGCAGACCATCCAGCCCCGGCGACTTATTGCACGCCATTTCTTTGAACGCATTCTTGACCTCATCCTCCGTCCAATCCGCTGACAGACTTTCTGCAACTGCAATCGGTAGCCTCTTCCCAGGTGCTGGCCGCCAATCCGACAGGTGAGACTGCTTATCTGTACCGAAAATGTCACTGAAAAACTCTGACGCCGCCAATAGAATCTGCTCCGGATCATTGATCACCGCACCGTTCACACATAGTTCATCAATCTGCGTACGCCACTTCCTTTCCTTGATTTTGCCTGACAGGCGCTTCGACGCAACCTCCCCTTTTAGTTCGTCCTGGTACCCCGCCATTAGATGCTGTCTGTCACGTCGTGAGGCCTGATAATCCTTCAGCTGCGCCTCCTTAATGGCTAACTGCTCTCTTATCCGTGTGCAGTGCGGATCACCCATCATCGCCTGCTTCAGCTCGGCCACTGACCGCGTGAGATGCAGCATGGTGGCTTTAACTCTCTTCCCTTCTTCCTTCGCGTAAGCTTTCAGACCGGCATTAAGGCGCGCCAGGAGCAGCCCGAAATCACCTCCCGCCTGCGCCACCGCTGCTTCCACCACCTTCCGAACACCAGGACGACCAAGCATCGACGCAGGAAGTCTCCAGAGACCCGGACCAAGCCTCGCTTGTTTACTGCAACGGAAGGCCACCCTGATCGCAACCCCATGGTCCGAAATCGGATCCTCTGGTGAGACATGTGCAGCTGAAACCAACCACGGAAGCAGAGACTGCGACACCAAGGCCCTGTCGATCCGAATGCTGGACTGCTGCGCGTGTGAGAAGAAGGTATATTCTCTCTTGTTCGGATGTAAGGCCCGGAAAGCGTCGGAAGGACGGAAAACCCCGCATCGTCTGCAGAGTTTGTCATTCTCCGCCGCTGAGCCGGAACCAGATGTTGTGTCAAGGTATGGTTCTTCAATGGTGTTCAGATCGCCAATGATTAAGAAGTGATCTCCGGGGTCCAGAATGTCAACCGTCGGACCAACCACCTCCCTGAGAAAAACCGCTCTCGCTTGTGGTGACGCCGGGAAGTAAGTCGCTAGTAACACCATTGTAAGACCTCTACCTACTACCTCCGTCTTGATCAGTCTACCTGAGGGGTGGATCACTGTGTTCCATAACTGTAAGCTCTGGTTCCCTAGAACTATGGCTACTCCACCGGCTCTCGCGGTTGGTGTGGAGGCAACTGCGGCGCAATGCTTAAGAGATTTCCAGTAACTGTGAGTAGACGAGATCCGAGTGTCTGAGAGAATGTTGACATCAGCTGCAGATTTAATCCAGTCGGTTACAAAAATACGCTTAACCCTATTGCCAAGGCCGTTCACATTAAGGCCCGCGAAAGAGATGTTGTTCCGTTTATTCATTTGATCACTCCCTGGCAGCCCTTACGCATCCACAGGCTGAGGAAAGTCACTGAGCAGAGAACCGACACCGACACCATACACGCTGACATTGCTGCTGTTGCCAGCCAATCCAGAAGCCGCTGGTCTGCTACATCCCGTAGTCCTTCCTTAACGGAGCCAGAACCGCCTTGTCCATGGTGACGCGAGTCGCGGTACCGATCTTTTCCAGTTGAATCAGATGGTTGGCCGCAGCGACATGATCCGCCGCCGTCATGAAAGACTTCCCCTTTGCTTTCCCGCAGCCGATCTGAGTGCAGATCCATTCCTCGCGGTTGCAGCCGGTGGAGACAAAGGCAATGGCCGGATCCTGGAGCAGCGGTGTGACAAGCGGCGAGGTGCGCAGAGAGGCAGCTGCGACATGAAAGCGAGACGTTAGAATATGGTAAAGGATGACAGGTATGAGGAGGAGCCGAGTCAGCCTGCAGCAAAACCGTGCAGTTACCATTGATCCTGTGCACCCTCCCCAGTGTAAGATTCCACTTCCCTATGTTACATTGCCGCTCTGTGATGAAAGCATCATGATTCTTATCATAGTGCTGTCCACCGCAGAGGGAGCAGCATAGCAAAGGGTAGTGGATCAGCAGAAGCTTGTTGCGGTCGAGCGGATCCGTGATTGTCTGCTTCCAACGGCAGTTCTGGTCCTCCGGGAAGGGGTAAACAAGCCCCTTGATTGTGTCCGTGTCAGCCCCAGTCACAGGGTGAAGAAGCCGGTGGAAGCACTTCGCCGCTTTAAAGATTGGCCGCTGCTTGACTTTCAGCTTGAAAACCGCCAGACATTCCTTCAAAATATCAGGTGAGATGTTAGCAGTGATGTTATTAAAAACAACCTCAATAGCATGCGGATTTGCCAACTTCTCCTTCAAGAAATCTGCATCCTCCGTGAACAGCCAGGTGAGCGGAATCTTCTTGCTGTTGCCGGACCTCTGGTAGTCCACAACTTTCTGACGAACAATGACAATGTCGTCTTCGCGCAGGAGAGACAGCTGAAGACGGCAGTACTTGGTCCGAGCCACAAAGGCCGGCTGCAGAATCTGGATCTTGGCCCCGTCAGCAGCACCAGGCGAGAGAGCAGAGGACCACACCTTCTTCAGCAGCGTTCGCACCGTCAGAATGACAGAACCCAGCTCCGGTTGCAGGAAAAAAGGTACAAGCAGAATAGCAGTGTAGCGAATCCTTGCCAGTAAGTCACACGTGATGTCCAGCTCAAGTTCGTCGTCCGAGTCATCATCAATGAAGTCGTCGTCTTGCTGTTTAAGCGATGACATCGCAGCCTTCTCAGCAACTGACAGGCCTGAACCACTTGCAGGTTGTTCTGTGTCTTTCCCATTTGACGTCCCAGACGCAGGATCACCAGAAGGAAGCAGCGGATCCGAGGCGTCAGGTACATCCACAGGGGTCTTCTTGCTTCCCTTCGGAGGCATGGTGCAAGGATGACAAGAAAGCAGTGACGGAGTTTTAAAACTCTGATGAAAAAGGGCTGTGAAGACCACTGAATGAATTGCTTGACTGAGCACCGAGAATAAATAGCGAGGATAGACCTCTGACCAAAACTCTTGCTGGCTGTGTTGAGATCTCGAGGTCGAAACCTTGGGGTCATTCCTTGAGAACATCACGAGGTCAGACTTGATATAGCGCGAGAAACACTTGTTTGATGTATAGGAGACTGGCGATGAAACAGTGAAGCTTGAAATGATCCCAAGGAACGTAGGAGTAGCATGCTTGAAAAACGCCTTGAAATTAGGAGATGCAATGTCAACAATGTTGACATTAAAGCCGTATCCCCCGATAGAGAATGTAAAGGCGATGCCATTGACGTCCTTATCGAAGCGAACTGCTAAGGGAACTTCACGAAACAAGCTGTCCAGGCTGGCTCGAAGCCGCCATGGCGGAGAGCTCGAGGATGTCATGTGGTGCTGCTCGAGGATCGTCAAGAGATGTTTTGTAGCAGCGAGCAAAAGCGAACCTCAACGACTGTAGTTACAACTCGCGTAAATTCGCCAACATACCCAATCTATCGATCGCAATCGGTTGCGATCGATTGCATCAGATCGAGGCAATCGATCGCGATCGATTACAATCTCGATTGCGATCGACAGATTGCCCTCGATTGCCCAAAAGTACCCCCTGGTGTCAGATTTATATGACAGAGCTACTGTAGGCTATAGTGGGGTAGCACATATGGGGTACAGTTTTCCAGGGTTTGCATTTTGTACCCAACTTTCCCTTAGTCATTTTCATTCCTGTTTTCTTAATTCACGTGGTATAGAGCGGGTTCCTACATGGGACCGTTCCTTCCTAAGGGCCCACCATAACGAAATTTTTTTTTTTTAGCTGCCCGACGCGCATTGCGCCCCTGCCCTAAATTTTTTTTAGCGGCCCCCCCCCTAGCGGCCCCTACGCGACCCCTACGCGGCCCCTACGCGGCCCCTACGCGGCCCCTACCCGGCCCCTACGTCGCCCCTGACGCGGCCCCTACGCGGCCTCTGACGCGGCCCCAACGCGGCCCCTGACGTGGCCCCTACGCGGCCCCTGACGCGGCCCCAACGCGGCCCCTGACGCGGCCCCAACGCCGCCCCTGACGCGGCCCCTACGCAGCCCCTGACGCGGCCCCTGCCGCGGCCCCTGACGCGGCCCCTACGCGGCCCCTACCCTGCCCCTGAGGCGGCCCCTGACGCGGCCCCTGACGCGGCCCCTCCGCCGCCACTACCGCGGCCCCTACGCCGCCCCTGACGCCGCCCCTGACGCGGCCCCTGCCGCGGCCCCTAACGAGGCCCCTGACGCGGCCCCTGACGCGGCCCCTGCCGCGGCCCCTGACGAGGCCCCTGACGCGGCCCCTGACGCGGCCCCTACGCCGCCCCTGACGCGGCCCCTGACGCGGCCCTTGACGCGGCCCCTGACGCGGCCCCTGACGCGGCCCCTGCCGCGGCCCCTGCCGCGGCCCCTGACGCGGCCCCTGACGCGGCCCCTGACGCGGCCCCTGCCGCGGCCCCTGCCGCGGCCCCTGACGCGGCCCCTGACGCGGCCCCTTCGCCGCCCCTGCCGCGGCCCCTACGCCGCCCCTGACGCGGCCCTCTCCTGCACCTGACGCGGCCCCTAGCGGCCGGCCGCTGCCGTCCCTGAGGCAGCAGCCGCCGCCGTCTCTGCAGCAGCAGTCGCAGCCGAACGGCCGAGCCGCCGAGCCGCCGAGCCGCCCAGCAGCCGAGCCGCCCAACCGCCGAACCGCCCAGCAGCCGAGCCGCCCAGCAGCCGAGCCACCGAGCCGCCCAGCAGCCGAGCCGCCGAGCCGCCCAGCAACCGAGCCGCCGAGCCGCCGAGCCGCCCAGCAGCCGAGCCGCCGAGCCGCCCTGCAGCCGAGCCACCCGAGCCGCCCTGTCCGGTAAGAGCAGCGCCCCTTTCACAGCACTGCCCTCACCCTACTGTTTGCGCTGCTAGTCTACTACTGTCATGGCTACCCCTAGTGTCCTCGCTTTTGACGCTGAGGGTCGGGCCATTGACTTTGATGTCTGGATAGATGACCTGCAGCTTTTCTTACAGTGCGACAGGGCAGACGGCCTCTCCCTCTTTGACCTCACTTCTGGTGCCTCTCCTGCCCCCGCTGCTGATGCTGACGCCACTGTTCGCTCACAGTGGGCCACGCGCGATGCTGCTGCACGTCTTGCTGTGCGTCGCCACCTGCCTACCTCTGAGCGTGCGCACTTTAGCCAGTACAAGAGTGCTCAGACCTTGTACGACGCTGTAGTTGCGCGCTACTCCTCCCCTGCCACTGCTGCACTGAGCCGCCTCATGCTACCGTACCTCTTCCCTGACCTTGCTGCCTTTCCCACAGTCGCTGACCTCATTACGCACCTCCGCACTAGTGACACTCGCTACCGCGCTGCGCTTCCTGCTGAGTTCTGCGCCAAGAACCCCCCCCCCATGTACATCACCCTCTACTACATAGTCACCCGGCTCCCTGACTCCCTTCGCGTAGTCAGGGACCACTTCCTCTCAGTTTGCCCCACCACTCTCACCGTTGACCTCCTCGAGAAGTCCCTCCTAGCAGCAGAGAAGAGCATAGTCGCTGTAGGAGCCTCTCGTGGTGACCCTCGCACCCCCATCTTTGAGGGGTGTTCCCCCTCCCCCCTTTTGCCCTCTGTTGCCTCTGCTGCTGCGGCCGACCTCGTTGGGCTTGAGTCGGTCGGTGCGGCGTCTACCCCTAGCGGGAGACGTCGCCCTGGCAAGGGCAAGGGGGGCAGGGGCACTGGAGGAGCTAGCGGGGGCGGTGGAGGCGGAGGTGGAGGCGGTGGAGGGGGTGGGGGTGGCGGTGGGGGTGGTGGCGGGGGTGGAGGTGTCGGTGGCGGCAGTGGAGGCGGAGGCGGAGGCGGCGGTGGCGGTGGGAGCGGAGGTGGCGGCGGTGGAGGAGGAGGCGGCGGAGGAGGTGGAGCTGGTCGGGGTGGCGCTGCGCAGAGGGTCGGCTCCGGTGGTGGTCAGCGCCAGCAGCAGCAGCAGCAGCAGCAGCAGCAGCAGCAGCGCACTCGTGACATCCCCTCCCCTCAGGAGCTCCGTGAGTGGTACACTGCACGCCAGAGGGGTTGGGGTACTGGTCCGTGCACCTACGTCCTCCGCACCGGCGACCGCGCGGGTGACCAGTGCGGGGGTGCGCACTCCACCCAGCGCTGCTTTGGCCGCCTGACGGACGCTTGGCGTCACCAGTTCCCTGAGGCCGCTGAGATCCCCCGCTGGGGTGAGTTGTCTAGGGCGGGTGTAGCTGTCTTTGACCTTGACTTTGATGCTATTCTTGCTGCCATGTATACTGTGACTATTAGTGATGAGGGTGACTGTTACCGGTGTTTTCCGCCCGACCCGGGCATTGAGACTGCTGCTCTAGGTACTGGTGAGGCTGCTGCTCTAGGTGCTAGCGAGGCTGCTGCTCTAGGTACGTCTGCTCCCTCAGGTGCTGGTGAGTCTGCTCTCTCAGGTTCTGCGTCGGCTTCGGCCTCCCACACCTTCACCCTTGACTCGGGGGCTTCTCGCTCCTTCTTTCGAGACCGCACCACACTCACGCCGCTTGGCCGGCCAGTTGCAGTCTCTCTGGCAGACCCCTCTGGGGGTCCTGTCCTTGCTCACTTCTCCACTGTCCTCCCGTGTCCGGCGGCCCCCTCTGGCACCCTGTCTGGTCTTTACCTACCCTCGTTCTCTACGAACTTGGTGAGTGGTGCTGACCTACAGGATGCGGGGGTTCACCAGTTCACTCCTGCGAGTCAGCGGGTGACCCACTGCACGGACGCTCGGACAGGCCGACACCTGGCCACGTTTACACGTCGGCCGGGGTCGAGCCTGTACACACTGACCACTGCGTCTCCTCCGGTCACTGCGTCTGGACAGGTAGCTGCGTCAGGTCAGGTGTTTGCTGCATCGTCCAGGTCTGGTCCTGAGTCTGCCCCCTGTTCGTGTCGCCTCCTGCCTCACGAGACTCTCCTCTGGCACCACCGCCTTGGTCACCCCTCCCTGCTTCGTCTCCGAGGCATGGCCTCCCGTGTCCTTGTCTCTGGTCTTCCCCGGTCCCTCCCTCCCCTTCCTCCGGGGCCTGGCCCTACCTGCGTCCCCTGTGTCGAGGGGCGGCAGCGGGCTGCCCCTCACTCCTCCCAGTTTCCTCCGACAGAGGCCCCGCTGCAGACGCTTCACATGGACGTGTGGGGCCCGGCCCGCGTCCGTGGACAGGGTCACGAGCGCTACTTCCTGCTGGTGGTTGACGACTACTCGCGTTACACCACAGTCTTCCCCTTGCGCAGCAAGGGTGATGTCACTGAGGTGTTGATCGACTGGATCCGCGCAGCTCGTCTCCAGCTCAGGCAGAGCTTCGGCTCGGACTTTCCTGTTCTGCGTCTGCACTCTGACAGAGGTGGAGAGTTCTCCTCTGGCCTTCTGCGAGCCTACTGTCGTGCACGAGGCATCCGCCAGACCTTCACGCTTCCGGACTCTCCACAGCAAAATGGGATTGCTGAGCGCCGCATTGGCATGGTCATGGACGTCGCCCGTACGTCCATGATGCATGCGGCTGCCCCCCATTTTCTGTGGCCGTTTGCTGTTCGGTACGCGGCGCATCAGATCAACCTTCACCCCAGGGTCTCCATGCCGGAGACCTCCCCAGCCTTGCTGTGGACGGGGAAGGTTGGCGATGCGTCTGCGTTCCGTGTCTGGGGATCTCAGGCGTTTGTCCGCGACTTGTCTGCGGACAAGCTGTCCCCTCGTGCTGCTCCTTGCGTCTTCCTTGGCTTCCCCCCTGACGCGCCAGGGTGGCAGTTCTACCACCCCACCTCTCGCCGTGTTCTGTCCTCCCAGGACGTCACGTTTGACGAGTCGGTCCCCTACTACCGCCTCTTCCCCTACCGCACTCCGTCCCTCCCCCCGCCACCGCTCTTCCTTGTACCAGGTCCCCCCCCGGTAGACCCCCTCCCCCCTCAGGGTCCTGCCCCTTCAGGTGTGTCCCAGGTAGACGCAGTCGAGCCTGTCGAGGTTACTGGTGACTCTGGTGCTGCTGAGGGTGCTGAGCCTGGGGGTGCTGACTCTGGGGGTGCTGAGCGTGTGGGTGCTACGCCTGGGGGTGCTGAGCCGGAGGGTGCTACTACTGGGGGTCCTGAGCCTGGGGGTGCTGAGCCTGGGGGTGCTACTACTGGGGGTGCTGAGCCTGGGGGTGCTGAGCCTGGGGTTGCGGAGCCTGAGGGAGCTGGGCCTGCTCGTGTGGCGTCTGGCGGTGCTGAGCCTGGAGGTTCTCCGGGTGCTTCGTCTCGGCGGGAGCCACTCTCTCCACAGGAGCTGCGCGAGTGGTTTGCCCGGCGCTGGAGGCGTGCTGCTGGAGCTGGAGGTTCTTCGGCTGCTGAGGGTGCTGGTGCCGTGGGTCCCGGAGGTGCTCGTACTGGGAGTACTGGAGCTGCTGGGCCTGCGGGTACGACTGGAGCTGGAGCTGCTGAGGGTGTTGGCGCTGAGGCTACTGCTGCCGGTCCTGGAGGCGGTCCTGCTGGGGGTACTACTGGTGCGGCTGGAGGTCCTGGAGCTGGAGGTGCTGCTGGCGCTGGTGCTGCCGCTGGGGGTACTGGTGCTGTCCCTGCTGTGTCTGGAGTCGCCGCGCGGCCTCGGCCGTACTTCGTTCCGCTCCTTCAGCAGGTTCTTGGTCTCCCGCCTTCTACTGGTCCTCCTCCTCCCTTAGAGTGTCCACAGCCTGTCCCGTCACAGTTCCAGTTACAGCCGGCCTCCCCACTGCCCGCTTCCTCTCCCTACACTGGTCCTACTGGAGGTCTTGCTGAGCGTCGTGAGCCTGCGTCCCGCCCTGCGTCGCCTGTCCGTGCTGCTCGCACTAGTGGTCGTGGTTCGCGTCAGCGTCCTCCTCCTGTCCCTGGCACGCACCGGATGTCTCTGCGTCCGTCCACTGCTCCTCTGCGTGCCCCTTTGCCTTCTCCTCCTGAGTCCTCTCTTCCTGCTCTTCCTGACCCGGAGTCGGACTCTCTTCGTGCTGCCAGTCCTACTGTCACACGTCTCCTTGCTACTGTTGTCACTGACCCTTCCTTTGAGTCCACTGCTGCGTCTGCCCTAGTTACTGAGCTCGTCGACTTTGCTGCTCGCTGTCGTCTAGACTACGCTGCTAGTCTTGTTGCTGAGTCTGAGTCTGTCTGTCCTCCGTCCGTCGGGGGTGAGTGTGCCCTTGGCACGGACGTCCTTGAGGACAGGCAGGAGGAGTTCCAGTGTTTGGCTGCTGCTTCACCTCATCTCGTGTCCGTACTGCTTACCCCTGAGGGAGACCCGGATGCACTTGACATCCCGACTCCGCGCTCTTACGCGGAGGCGATAGAGGGTCCCTACTCCTCTCAGTGGCAGGCAGCTATGGACGCAGAGATGGCTTCCTGGAAGTCCACAGGCACCTACGTCGACGAGGTTCCCCCGCCTGGGGCGAACATCGTCAGTGGCATGTGGATTTTCAGGGTGAAGCGGCCGCCGGGTTCTCCGCCTGTCTTCAAGGCGCGTTACGTGGCTCGTGGCTTTAGTCAGCGGCAGGGAGTTGACTACTTTCAGACCTTCTCTCCCACCCCGAAGATGACCACTCTTCGGGTACTGCTGCACGTAGCTGCTCACCGCGACTACGAGCTGCACTCTCTTGACTTCAGCACTGCTTTCTTGCAGGGTAGCCTGCACGAGGAGATCTGGCTGCGTCGCCCACCTGGCTTCACTAGGTCTTTTCCTCCTGGCACCCAGTGGAGCCTCCGGCGGCCAGTCTACGGTCTCCGCCAGGCACCGCGTGAGTGGCACGACACACTGAGGACTACACTTGCGGCCCTTGGGTTTGCTCCCTCTACTGCCGACCCGTCGCTGTTTCTGCGCACCGACACTTCTTTGCCGCCGTTCTACATCCTCGTGTACGTCGACGACTTGGTCTTTGCCACAGCTGACACTGCTGGACTCGCCCATGTGAAGTCCGAGCTGCAGAAGAGACACACGTGCACAGACCTGGGTGAACTGCGCAGCTACCTTGGCTTGCAGATCACCCGGGACGGAGCACGCCGCACCATTACCCTGACTCAGTCACACATGGTGCAGCAGGTCCTTCAGCGCTTCGGCTTCACGTACTCCTCGCCTCAGGCCACTCCTCTGCCTACTCGCCACTCGCTCTCAGCTCTGCCTTCGGATGAGTCCGTAGAGTCGAGTGGCCCGTACCCAGAGCTTGTTGGCTGCCTCATGTACCTGATGACCTGCACACGACCTGACCTCGCATACCCTCTTAGCATTCTCGCACGCTATGTTGCTCCTGGGAGACACAGACCGGAGCACATGGCTGCAGCGAAGAGGGTGTTGCGTTACTTGTGCAGTACGTCGGGCATGGGGCTTGTGCTTGGAGGGCAGAGTCCAGTGGTCCTCACTGGGCACGCAGACGCTTCTTGGGCTGACGACCAGGCTACGCAGCGGTCGTCACAGGGTTACACCTTCAGCCTTGGTTCCGGCTCTGTTTCGTGGCGGGCTACCCGCTCGTCTTCTGTTCTCGGCTCCAGTTGTGAGGCTGAGATCTACGCCGGGGCCATGGCTGCACAGGAGCTTCGCTGGCTCACCTACCTGCTGACTGGCCTCGGAGAGCCGCCTCGTTCTCCTCCAGTGCTGTACGTAGACAACAAGGCCATGCTGGCCTTGTGTCGAGAGCAGAGACTGGAGCACAGAACGAAGCACATTGCTCTCCGCTACTTCCTTGCTCGTGAGCTACAGCAGCGTGGTCAGCTGCGGCTTGCGTACGTGGCCTCTCAGGCCAACACTGCTGATATCTTCACCAAGGCACTTGCGCCTTGTGATCATCAGCGTTTCTGTACTCAGCTGGGCCTTGTGCCTACCTTGCCTCACTTGCTCACCCCTTGACCTTGTTTGTACTGTTGCATATATATATACACCTGCTCTTGCTTGTCTAGCCTTATATATATATGTAATCCTGCATGTGAACTGGCCTTGTGGCCTTGAACCTGTGCTCGGAATGTGTGGTGACTTTGTGATCCACCCTGAGCTTGCTTTGCTTTGCTTGACTGGTCTTGTGACCCCTTGTTCTCCCCCACTTTGCCTATGGGGGTGTGTCAGATTTATATGACAGAGCTACTGTAGGCTATAGTGGGGTAGCACATATGGGGTACAGTTTTCCAGGGTTTGCATTTTGTACCCAACTTTCCCTTAGTCATTTTCATTCCTGTTTTCTTAATTCACACCTGGACCTTCTCGGAATTTGTGGATTGCGAGATCGAGGCAATCAACCTCAGATCGCCCCGATCTGCACCATGTCCTAAGTCCGATTTTATGACGTGGGCCAATCGACTTTGATCGGCGCGATCAGAGGTGATCAAAAACTTCGAGGAAGGCGGGAAGCACATTTCAGGCAATCAGGGGCAATCAGCTGATCGCGATCAGCTGATCGCGCCAACTCAATCAACCGCCTCAAACAGCCCGATCAGACCCGATCAGACACAATCAGCCCCAATCACTTGATTGCATGTGATCGGCGACCTGGGCGACATACGCGAAATGTAACACGCCTCGCCATGAGGTCTCGAAAATCCTTGCGAAAACACCCAGATCGGCGAGAACTGTGTGTTGGGACATGATGTTGGCGACATTACCACGATACTGAGATTCGTCCGCATCGCCAAAGTTAGGATGCAACTACCAGGTAATGGGCCGACAGTTTTCATGCAAGAGCGCAAAACATTCGAGGAAAATCATCTCTGATCGGGCGGCGCGAGAAAAACGATCACAAGCAATCCGATCCGACCCGAACCGATCCGATCAGAGCTGATCAAAGTCGATTGGGCCCACGTCCTTACTCACATGCCATTTTTGTCCCCCTACTGTTTTTTGTCCCCCCAAGAAGTTGCACCCTGGTTCTTGAACAGCGTTTGACTGAGATGTCCCACCCACGCCCTGTGGTGAATGCAGTTTGAGTGCGGTGGGTGGGTCTTCTGAACTGTACAGTTTAGCTGACCTTTCGTTTCCAAGACGAAATTGCCTTCCAATTCAGGTGCTCAATAGGCCGACTGAGGCAATCCACTCTTGGAAATGGTTGCTTGTTTCATTGCTCTTCGGTTTCAGGTGGTCTGTCGTTTGGCCAAGGCCGAAGACTTACAGCTGGTTTCCTTGCTGCTTGATCCCATGTTGCATTGTTACAATTTCCCTCCTTTTCTTGTGCGTTTGCCTTCGAATTCGCTGAAGACAACTGTAGGGTTGGGTGAATTTTCCGGTGTAGTGATTATCGAGGCCCGTGCAGGAGAACAGGAGAAGAAATCCCAACCCCCGCCAGCTGTTCCTCTGGCAGTCGGTCATGACTGGCTTTCGGGTTCGTCGACCAATATTGCTAACTGGGTGTTGTCACTGGCACACAATAGCCTCGAGTTTTTCTCATGCCATTTAGGACACCAACACTAAAAGACATCCTTAATGAACCTAAAAATGAATCCTCTATATTTAAATTACTCTGTCATGTCTACGGGCAGCATTGTGGCACTGAATGAATGTTACGCTCTGATTTTTTGTTCCTGACAAATCCCTCGTCCTCCCCTCGCGGCCACTGCAACGCCAATCTTGCCAAACCGGTCCGTTCTCCAACGCAATGTGAAAGGGGAGGTTTCACCAGCTGCCACCGTCTCAATCAACTCAACGACGACGTGCTGTTGCTGTCCGATTCCAACCTGCCTGCCCAACCACCTCGAGACAGACAGACAGCGCCTACCTCCTCAACCTCCCTCCCAGGCTCCCCCAGCTAGCCCTGTTACTCTGGCAGCAAGAGAGGGCTCACCACCTGTTGCTCTGTTGCGGATGAGGGAGTTCAAAGTCCATTCCGCAGCGTCTTTTCCTGGATTATCCTCCGCAGCGTCTTTTCCTGGATCATTTTCTCCTTTTGCATGACAATGACAGCGATGTTGTCTCTCCCTCCTTCACCCAAGGGCATTCACTTAGCGTCGCCCGACAGCAAGTTTGTGCTGCTTTTCGCCAGCGTTCTTGTCACGCTCTTCTTCCTCCGCGCCATGGATCGCGGCACCGTCTCGCAAGAATCGTGCGACATGGTGCAGCCCAGCAGCATGGGCCCCGATGTCAATGCCTCCAATCCTTTGCCACCGCATCTACGGCCAGGATGCATTCTTTACTCTGATAACCGCGCCATTTCCGCGCATGCCGAAGCTACACGTGGACTCACCCCCGCCGCTGCGGCGGCCGTGGCGGGCTGGGGCGCGGCGCCTCCGATACTATCACTAGAGGATCTCGCGCAGTTGCCGTATTACGAATCGTCGCGACTTATAAACAAGTAAATACGCTATACATCATCGTAGTAGTATAGTACTATTAGGAGCCTGGATCTTGAAAACAATCAGAAGTAGAGCCCGAAACGATTCTTGGCGCGTATTGTACGTGCTGGCAAGGTCTGTCGTGCGGTGCGTGCGAGCGTAATACGTGCGAGAGCGCACTGCATGACGATCACGCGACCACCGCCGTCCCCTCTGCCAGACGGTCATGATCATCGCAACCCGCGCAGTTTCGGGGTGTTCAAGTTGATTCGTCGACTACCAATTCCAACCACTCCCGAATCATGCATTTTCCCCTTTCTGAACGCAGGTTGTACGCGGAGCGGCACGGTTACCTCTTCTTCGAGTCGTATGAGGGCGTCAACGCGTCGCGCAGGTTCAGGTGGCACAAGGTGCGTCCCGCCGCGCAACGTCCTTCCTAGTACTCCGCGCCGAGCGTCGGTGTTCGGACCGTCGCACTTACCCCCTCCTCGCGCCGCAGCTTGGCCTGTGACCGTCCGCACGCGCCGCGCTGACCCGTGGCCATCGGCGACCGATGTTCATCGCCGCGGTTCAAATGACCCCCTGCTATTCGTCTTTTAGCGGCTACCTGCCATCGCGGAAAAGGGCAGGGCGAAAAACAACTGGAAAGTTACTGTTCCGTAACTTTTCCGTTGCATTTCGCGCGCAAGAAAAAAGTCTGACTCGAAAACAGTGGTAGCTCACGTGACTTGCGAAGTGACTTTCCCGTCACATTCCCAACACAAACTGTACACTTTGATGCAATTGTGAGGTACTGGTGCACGGAATGTCGCGTTTCGCGAGCGTTGTTTTTTGGACACTTCGCGCAACACAGACGCAGGCTTTTCGTAGAAAAACCTTCGGACCCTCAAATTCGACATTTTCCTTTTCCGCGATGGCGTTCGTTTCGCATGAGCGTTGTCGGGCTAGGCTGTCCCTCCCTTCCATCTCAGCCGCGTCAAAAGTCGGACTTCTCGGCCCACCGACCGACACACCATGTGCAGTTTCCGAGTCGCTCGCCCGACCGCGTCCGACGCGGAGGCGAGGCTCCAGCGACTCGATGCGGACAGGCTCTCCCTCTCTGGAATGAGATTTCGACACAAAGAATCGAATCTTCTCAAATCGCTGCCCAACATTTCCTTCTTTCTCTCGCACTCGCTTCTCCCTAACTTGAACCTGTTTCGGTAATTTGTCCTCCTATGGCCGCGCGCAGGTGACGCTGCTGCGGCACGCGCTGCAGTGCTGCTGTCGGTGGGCGCTATACGTGGACTCGGACGCTTACATGCGCATGGACATGCACCGCCTCTCCGTCGAGGACTGGGCCGCGCGCGCCAGCAAACGGGTGAGCGAGCTGCGCTAATACAACGCGACGATGGCCGTTATAGTACCGCGCCGCGCGAGCGGCGAGGGTTGCGAGCGGAATGAGGAATGCCGCAGCACGCACTCTCGTCCGTTGAGTCGATTTTGTTTTACACGCTAGCTCCGAGCTGACCGACCCCCCCACCCCCCCCCCCCCCCCCCCCTCCTTCCCCGCCCCTCCCCCGACTTGGGGCCGGGCCATGACTCTGTCTTTCCAAACAGCAGCATCTCTGAAAAGTCGCGCTTCTCCCGCATTCTCGTCTGTGTGTCGTGGGTGGCAGGGTTACTTCGACTACCTGCTGGGCAAGTCGGACTCGCGGCTGCAGGCGCAAGTGGTGCACGCGGAGCGCATTCTCGAAGTTCTCACACCGCACGATGGGGAGGGGGAGCAGGGTGAGGATGACGAGAAGGAGGAGGAACTGCAGGAGTGGCAAGAGAAGCCTGCTCCCGAGAAGTGGGAGGAGAAGCGGCAGGGCGAGCAGCAGCAGGAACTCGAGCAGAAAAAGCTGCAGGAGGAACAGCATAACCAGCAGCAGCAGGAGTGGCAGCAGCAGAAGGAACCTCTGCCAGAGAAGTGGGAGGAGAAGCAACAGCAAGAGGAGAAGCAACAGCAAGAGGAGAAGCAACAGCAAGAGGAGAAGCAACAGCAAGAGGAGAAGCAACAGCAAGACGAGAAGCAACAAAAACTGGAGCAGCAGAAGGCGCAGGAGCAAAAGAAACTGGAGCAGAAGAAGGCGAAGGAGCAAAAAATACTGGAGCTGAAGAAGGCGAAGGAACTAAAAAAACTGGAGCAGCAGAAGGCGAAGGAGAAAAAAAAACTGGAGCAGCAGAAGGCGCAGGAGCAAAAAAAACAGGAGCAGCAGAAGGCGCAGGAGCTAAAAAAGCTGGAGCAGCAGAAGGCGCAGGGGCAACAGGATAAGCAGAAACAGCAGGAGTGGCAGCAGCAGGCGCAGCAGCAGGCAGCCGCATCAGCGGATCCCAGCCCGGTTCAACCCCCCGTGGCACGGAAAATCCTTGAAACTCCTAAACCAGCACTCTCTTCTGTACCTACGGCGGCCGCATCATCACCGTCCGCAGTCCCCTCCGCATCGCCCACGCCTTCCGACCCTTCACTCTATTCTCTCAAACTGCCTTCTCTCCCCTCTTCCTCGAAGCGCCCGTTTGCTATCTTTGTACGCAATGGCGACAGGTCGATGGGGTACAACGGCGAGCCGGAAAACCTCTACGACCCGGAGCACGACTGGGCCAACTCGGGGGTCATGCTCTTCGGCCACTCGCCTGATTCTTTCAAGGTCAGCTGCCTTGTGTGCATGATTTCAGGGACTGAAATGCTGTGGGGTTCTATTGGGAGAGGGTTGGTGGGGGAGGGATGTGGTGGCGTTTGATGAGGCGGGATAAGTGCAGTGTTGCCTCCTCTTTCGTTCATGTTCGCAGGCAAGAGATTCAAAGACAGCGCAGATTATACATCTTCTAACCCTCCCCCCTCCCTGTTTTTTTTTGCTATGGTTCTTATGGCGTCCTCCCCGCTGCCAGTTCTTGGACCAGTGGTACGAGGCGATGCTGCCTAATTACGGCGACCAGCGGCCAATGAACCTGGTGGCACTCAAGTGGAAGAAGAAGATTGTGGTGCTGCCTTACTTGGAATTGACAGGGCCCGAGGGCAACATGATCAGACACTTCTGGCATCCTGTGGGTGCAGACACCCGGAATTATGAGCTGCAAAAAGCACTGCTGGGTGTACTTGTGCAGCAGCAGATGGAAGGTAGAAAGTAACAGCAATAGAATTGGAGTAGTGCCTTTTCACTGTAACTTTATTTTTCCTTTGTATAATTATTATTTTTCCGCCTCAATGTTTCGGGTGCAATGCAATGAATCGAGGTAGCGAGGATTGCACTAGGGTGTCAAACGAGTACCGTACAAAATGTGAGCGAAGGCATGAGCGAACATTTATACACCCTCATACTCGGCCTACTGTAAGGAAAAATCCTTTTCCTTACTTCGCGTCCCCGCTCAGCGCGTACATCACTGTAGCACCACAGTCAGCACCGTTACCACTCGCAACTCTCGCATCGACAATCCTCCCGCCACCTTCGCACGTCGCACCCCGACCTCACGGCTCGGCGGGTAACCTGCGCTCCGGGCCTCCGCTTCGACACTTTTCTCAACCTCAGTCCCAGGCCCGTCACGCGACAACCACAGTCCATTACCGTTACCACTGTAGTTTCGCTATATATTCTTCGCTCATGCCTTCGCTCATTTGTACTTTTGCTTCGATAGTGCAATTCTTGCTCGCTCACTCAATTGCACTCGTAACACTTGGTATTCAGAGCCTACGATCTCTTCTCGGACCGCACCCACACCTTCGCTTCCTCACTATCTCAATTTTGGGGGGGGGGGGGTAGACGTCTCTCAGCAACACAGCACCGCCGCTCGTAATGCTCTCTCGTAAGCACGCACGGCCACGACAGAGGCTCTCGCTGAGCTCGCCCGACACCCCCGCCATGGCCGAATTCACGCTCGCAACATTGACGCAGGAGCAGCTCGACCGTCTGGTGCGCCAACTTGAAGATTCGGCGCTCGAAATTGCGACGCTCACGGCGGAACGTGACTCCGCGCGTCAGCAATCAACGATGAACACTCCCGCGCCACCACACGCACCAACAAATGCATCTGCACAATCGGACGAACCGATCGTCATTTCATCCGGCACACCAACACAACACGACAGCGTGGGACAGCGCTCAGGCGCAGCCAGTGATGGCGCCGCCCAGCCGATGCCTGGCATGGGAGGGAATAGGGTCGCACCAAGCCCGCGGGAGCCTCGTAAAGCCCGTCGGCACGTGGAGTTTGCGGCGACAAGTGGCGAACAGGCCGTCGTGGCACCAATGCCACTCAAGCCGCAACGCCCGCCCTGCTTCGACCCAAGCCAACGTGGAGGTCCGACGGTTCAATCGTGGGTCTTCACGATGAACGTCTTCTTCGACGCGAATTACGTCGAGTCGGACGCAGCGAAGATTCGGTATGCCGTTTCGCTGCTGAGGGGCCCCGCCATGGACTGGTGGCGAGTCATCGTGACGTCGCCACGCGCCTACGAGCCACCGTCGCAAGAGGAAGGGCCCACGGGTCCAGCTGTCACCTGGAGTTCGTTCAGCGAGACCGCCCAGTACAGCACGTGGGATGCGTGGTGCGCAGGGCTTCGGGCGCGCTTTGAGCCAATCGCGGCTTCTATTTCGGCGCGTCAGAGACTGCGTACTTGGCGGCAGCTCGGATCGGTTCAAGACTATACGAGTGGTTTTCTCGCATTATGCGAGCAAGTCGGCTACATGCACGAAGCGGAGCGGGTGGACCGTTACGTCGGAGGGCTGAAGCCGGACATCTCGCACGAAATTATGCTACGCGGGCTCTCGAACTTCAACGAGATTCTCGCGCTCGCCGAGAAAATTGACATTTTGCGCCGTCCGAGACCGGGGTCCTACTACGGACATCGTCCTCGGGGACCGATCGAGCACGCCACCGTACACGCCGTTGCGACGAATGCAGCTGCCGCACCGTTTAAGGGGCACTGCTTTGCTTGCAATAGGCCGGGCCATCGCAAGAGCGAATGCCCAGAGGAGCTGAGGCGCCGCGGAGCAGAGCAGGGGAAGGAGTCTCAGAGGCAGGGAAACGCCAGCAGTCAGTAGGAGTCGGGCCAACTACTGACGAGACTGCCTGCTCGCCAAACCGCACCGACCCTCACCGAGTCACAGTACCGATTCATGCCATCGATCGGGCTCGGATGAATAAGGAGGGCACAGCGACGGATTGCCCAGTACTGATCCACGGGAAAATACAAGGAGCAGCATGATAAGAAACGAGGAATGAGAATGACTAAGGGAAAGTTGGGTACAAGTACAAACCCTAGAAATGTGTTGTGCCCCATATGTGCTACCCCACTATAGCCTACATAGGCTAAGTCATATAAGCCTGACACACCCCCATAGGCAAAGTGGGGGAGAACAAGGGGTCACAAGACCAGTCAAGCAAAGCAAAGCAAGCTCAGGGTGGATCACAACGTCACCACACAGTCCGAGCACAAGAGCAAGGCCACAAGGCCAGTTCACATGCAAGATCATATATATAAAGGTAAACAAGCAAGTGCAGGTATAGAAAGATCACAGTTCAAGCAAGGTCAAGAAGTGAGCAAGTGAGGCCAAGTAGGCACAAGACCTAGCATCGTACAGAAGCGCTGATGATCACAAGGCGGAAGTGCCTTGGTAAAGATATCAGCAGTGTTGGCCTCAGAGGCCACGTAAGCAAGGCGTAGCTGACCACGCTGCTGCAGCTCACGAGCAAGGAAGTAGCGAAGAGCAATGTGCTTCGTTCTGTGCTCCAGTCTGTGCTCCCGACACAAGGCCAGCATGGCCTTGTTGTCTACGTACAGAACTGGAGGAGAACGAGGCGGCTCTCCTAGGTCAGTCAGCAGGTAGGTGAGCCAACGTAGCTCCTGTGCAGCCATAGCCCCCGCGTAGATCTCAGCCTCACAGCTGGAGGTGAGAACAGAAGACGAGCGGGTAGACCGCCACGAAACAGAGCCGGAGCCAAGGCTGAAGGTGTAACCCTGTGACGACCGCTGCGTAGCCTGGTCGTCAGCCCAAGAAGCGTCTGCGTGACCTGTGAGGACCACTCGACGTCGCCCTCCAAGCACTAGCCCCATGCCCGACGTACTGCACAAGTAGCGCAACACCCTCTTCGCTGCAGCCATGTGCTCTGGTCGGTGTCTCCCAGGAGCAACATAGCGTGCCAAGATGCTAAGAGGGTATGCAAGGTCAGGTCGTGTGCAGGTCATCAGGTACATGAGGCAGCCAACAAGCTCTGGGTACGGGCCACTCGGCTCTACGGACTCATCCGAAGGCAGAGCTGAGAGCGAGTGGCGAGTAGACAGAGGAGTGGCCTGAGGCGAGGAGTACGTGAAGTCGAAGCGCTGAAGGACCTGCTGCACCATGTGTGACTGAGTCAGGGTAATGGTGCGCTGTGCTCTGTCCCGGGTGATCTGCAAGCCAAGGTAGCTGCGCAGTTCACCCAGGTCTGTGCACGTGTGTCTCTTCTGCAGCTCGGACTTCACGTGGGCGAGTCCAGCAGTGTCAGCAGTGGCAAAGACCAAGTCGTCGACGTACACGAGGATGTAGAACGGCGGCAAAGAGGTGTCGGTGCGCAGAAACAACGACGGGTCGGCAGTAGAAGGAGCAAACCCAAGAGCCGCAAGTGTAGTCCTCAGTGTGTCGTGCCACTCACGGGGCGCCTGGCGGAGACCGTAGACTAGCCGCCGGAGGCTCCACTGGGTACCAGGAGGAAACGACCCAGTGAAGCCAGGTGGGCGGCGCAGCCAGATCTCCTCGTGCAGGCTGCCCTGCAGGAAAGCTGTGCTGAAGTCAAGAGAGTGAAGCTCGTAGTCACGCTGAGCGGCTATGTGCAGTAGCACCCGAAGAGTGGTCATCTTCGGGGTGGGAGAGAAGGTCTGAAAGTAGTCAACTCCCTGCCGCTGACTGAAGCCTCGAGCCACGTAACGCGCCTTGAAGACAGGCGGAGAACCCGGCGGCCGCTTCACCCTGAAAATCCACATGCCACTGACGATGATCGCCCCAGGTGGGGGAACCTCGTCGACGTAGGTGCCTGTGGACTTCTAGGAAGCCATCTCTGCGTCCATGGCTGACTGCCACTGTGAGGAGTAGGGACCCTCGATCGCCTCAGCGTACGATCGAGGAGTCAGGATGTCTGGTGCATCCGGGTCTCCCTCAGGGGCAATCAGCGTGGACACGAGATGAGGTAAAGCAGCAGCAAAACACTGGAACTCCTCCTGCCTGTCCTCAAGGACGTCCGTGCTAAGAGCGCACTCACCCCTGACGGACGGAGGACAGACAGACTCAGACTCAGCAACAAGACTAGCAGCGTAGTCTAGACGACAGCGAGCAGCAAAGTCGACAAGCTCAGCAACTAGGGCAGACGCAGCAGTGGACTCAAAGGAAGGGTTAGTGACAACAGTAGCCAGGAGACGCGTGACAGTAGGACTGGCAGCACGAAGAGAGTCAGACTCCGGGTCAGCAAGAGTAGGAAGAGAGGACTCTGGAGGAGACGACAACGGGACACGCAGAGGAGCAATGGAAGGACGCAGTGCCATCTGGTGTGTGCCCGGGACGGCAGGAGGACGCGGACGCGAAGCACGACCACTAGTGCGAGCAGCACGAACAGGCGACGCAGGACGAGACGCAGGCTCACGACGCTCAGCAAGACCTCCAGTAGGACCAGTGTAGGGAGAAGGAGCAGGAAGGGGGGAGGCGGGTCGTAACTGTGACCGCGACTGGACAGGCTGTGGACACTCTAAGGGAGGAGCAGGACCAGTAGAGGGCGGCTGACCAAGAACCTGCTCAAGGAGCGGAACGAAGTACGGCCTCGGCCGCGCAGCGCCTCCAGAACCAGCAGGGACAGCACCAGCACCCCCAGCGTCAGCACCAGCGCCAGCAGCACCTCCAGCTCCAACAGCGCCAACTCTAGCACCCTCAGACGCACCAGCGCCAGCAGAACCAACAGCGCCAACACCCCCAGCAGCTCCAGCTCCAGCAGTTCCAGCAGATCCAGCAGCACCAACTCCAGCAGGACCAGCAGCTCCAGTACCGTCAACAGCTCCAGCAGTACCTCCAGCAGGACCAACTCCAGCAGCCCCAGCAGCACCCCCAGTCCCAGCAGCTCCAGTACCGCCAGTACGAGCACCTCCGGGACCAGCAACAACAGTAGTACCT